CCCCGAGCGGACACTGCGCAGCGCCGCCGATCCGGGCCCGCCAGCAGCCCGGGCGCGGCTTTATGGGTGAGGGTGGCGGTGTGAGGGTGAGGCGGGCCGGGGCGGGGCTCAGAAGCCCCAGGGCGGGTCAGCTCCAACCCCCCTCCCACCCCAGCCCGAACTGCAGGTGCGGGGTGTGTGTGTGTGGGTTGGGGGGGGGGGAGCGTGGCTCCTGGGCATAGGGAGGGATCAGCGCGCGGCGCCCAACTAGGAGCAAAGATCCCGCGCTCCGTTGCCTTGCTCTTTTTGGGGGTGGCTCTGCGTGCCCATCCTGGGGCTGGAACTCGGGGCCGGAGCTCTTGTCAATGAGCTTTTTTTTCTTTCTTTTTGGCAGGGTTAGCGCTCTATCCACTCGAGGCACGACTCCACTCTGGCCTTTTGGTGGTTAATTGGAAATAAGAGTCTCACTGGACTTTGCTTGCAGGGCGGGGGAAGGGGGGGGAAGCTGGCTTTGAACTGCAGTCCTCTGATCTCAGCCTCCGGAGTAGCTGGGATTACAAAGGCCACTGTGATCCTCGGCCACTGTCAGTTTGCTTTGCAGCCAGTTGGGAACTGGTGGTGCGCCCATTTCACTGAGCAGGAAAATGAGGCTCAGAGACTTTAGCTGGATGGAGGCTTCACAGGGCACTTTGCGCCCCGAGTCTGATTTTTGGGTCTTCCCTGCAGGTGGTGAGTTACCCCCCCCCCCGGGCACTAGGAACCATTGTGGCTTCAGTTAGAGAAATACCAGAGGTCTCCAGGGTGGGGCTGCTGGGAAGGGAAGTGAAGCCTGGCAACAGGGATCAAGGGGACCCTCACAGGGGCGAGGGTGCCATATATGATGGAGGTTCAGAATGGAGAAGGCTGCAAAACCCTAGTGTTTGTGGCTTCTGTTTGGTAGGGGAAGGGAGTGATTATGTTTCTGAGTTGATGACTTCAGAGCCGGAGAGAAAAGGTGGCCCGAGGCTCCCCTGAGAATCATGGGGACATTTCTGAGCCCTGTCATTTTACTGTCACATGGATCTGGGACCCGGGATCTATCCTCCTTTTCCAGGTGAGCCCCAAGGAGGCCTGGGGAGGGCATGTCACTTTCTAGTCCAGGAAGGGACAGCTCTGGGTGTGTACCCTGGCAGCTGCCTCTTGGAGCCACAATATTAATCCCTAAAGGTTATGTAACGCAGTGAATGGGGAGGGAGGGGGTAGCAGGGCTCCGTGTGGCTGGAATCAGGCCTTGGAATTTTCCAGACATACCAGATTTCACATTGTGGCCCTGTCACACCACTAGACACAAGAAACATCTCCCAAATGCACATATGTCCACCTGGTGAGTGAAATGGGAGGGGGCATCTTGGATGGACACTATAAGTGCAGTATTTTTTTATTTTTATTTTTTGCTGGTCCTGGAGTTTGAATTCAGGGCTTGGGCGCTCTCCCTAAGCCTCTTGGTGTTTAAGGCTAGAGTAGCACTCTACCACTTGAGCCACAGCACCACTTCTGGGTTTTTTTTGAGTACTTTATTGGAGATAAGCATCTCATGGAGACTTTTCTGTCTGAGGTGGCTTCAAACCAGGATCCTCAGATCTCAGCCTCCTGAGTAGCTAGGATTATAGGTGTGAGCCACTGGCTGTGTAGAATTTTTTAATTTTGTTATTTATGTATTATTTATTGTGCCAGTAATAGGGTTTGGACTTAGGGCTTGGGCACTGTCCTGTAAGCCTAGCTACTCAGGAGGCTGAGATAGAAGGATTGAGGTTCAAAGCCAGCACAGGCAGGAAAATCTGTGAGATTCATATCTCCAATGAACCACCAAAAAGGCAAAAGTGGTGCTGTGGCTCAAGTGGTAGAACACTAGTCTTGAACAAAAAAGCTAAGGGACAGCATCCAGGCCCTGAATTCAACAAGCCCCAGAACCAGCATCAAAACCAAAAAACAGCTGGGTGCTGGTGGCTCACACCTGTAATCCTACTCAGGGGATGAGATCTGAGGATCGAGGTTCAAAGCCAGCCCATGCAGGAAAGTCTATGAGACTCTTATCTCCAATAAACCACCAGAAAATCGGAAGTGGTGCTGTGACTTAAGTGGTAGAGCACTAGTCTTGAGCTGAAGAGCTGAGGGACAACGTCCAGGCCCAGAGTTCAAGCTCCATGGCTGATAAAAACAAACAAACAAAAAAGTCAGCTTCCTCTTGATAGCACACGTGCTGGGGACATGCTCCAAACCTATTACATGAAGATGTGTGTATCAGCTATGTGTGTCTGAGACACAGTCTCATCCCAGCCCTTGTAAAATGACAGCTGCTGAAAGTGCCTTGAAGAGGCTGAGTGTGGTGCCTCATGCTTCTCATCCCAGCTACTTGGGGAGCAGAGGTCAGAGGAACTGTGGTTTCAGATGAGCCTAGGCAAAATGGGAAGATCCTATCTGAAAAATAACTAAAACAAAAAAGGGCTCAGGCAGTAGAACACCTGCCTAGCAAGCACAAGGCCCTGAGTTCAATTCCCAGTACTTAAAACAAAATAGTACGAAAGAAGGTGTTCTAGATTTACTCACGTCAGGAGACATTGATTTTTCACCTATAATTCGAAGCCAGCCTGGGCAGGAAAGTCCATTAACCACCAAAGGCCAGAAGTGGAGATGTGGTTCAAGTGGTAGTGTTAGTCTCTGGCACAAAGGCTCACCAGGCCTTGAGTTCAAACCCCAGAGCCATCACACACACACACACACACAGACAGACAGACAGACAGACACACACACACACACACTTTAATCAGGGGGTTAGGAGACATTTTGGGGTGTAAACTGAGCCAGTGAAGTTCTTTCCAGAAAGTAGTTAGCCCCTCAGTCACAAATTGTGAGTGTCCCAGACTGGCCTGGAGCTGAAATGGTGTTGGACCCAGAGCCCCTGGGCCCTACCATCTGGTGCCCCCCAAGCTTCTGCCCCAGTGAGAGCTGCCAGGCAGAGCCCTTGCCCCAGGTCTGGCAGCTACATCAGTGGCACACAGGAGCTTCCTGAGGAAAGAAACGGGAGGTCCTGGCACCAAAGCCTGCAGCGGTCAGCCTGTCAGCTGACGTCCATGGCTCTGAGACCAGCTCCCCCCACCTCCACTGCCTGCTGGGGTTCTCTGGCTCGAATACCACATCAGAGCTGGGCAGGGGGGTGGGGGTGGGGGTGGAAGCCTCCTAATGCCAGCCTGTACTTTTCTGAGTGAGTTCTCCTCCACTCCAGCCTCCTTGCCCAGCTGACCCCCGATCTTGGCTCCTGGACTCTAGCCTACACTGTGGTCTCCCAGGGAGCAACTGATGATGAAATCTCCCTAAAGGCCTCTCTCTGGCAGACTGTAAGGAATGGGGTAACTGTTCATGGGCATCAGGTATCCTTTTAGGGTGATGAAATGTCTTCAAATCAGATAGAGAAGGGTTCGTATCACATTTGCATGACCTGCCACTGGGGAATGCACTGTGGTGAGTTTGAATGGCCCCCAGTTTCATCCATGTTGAAAAGAAAGGAAAAGCCGGATGCCAGAGACTCATGCCTATAATCCTAGCTACTCAGCAGGCTGAGATCTGAGGACCGTGGTTCAAAGTCAGCCTGCGCAGGAAAGTCCATGAGACTCTTATACCTAATTAAATACTGCATATGAAGCTGTGGCTCATATAATAGAGCACCAGCCTTGAGCAAACAAAAGCCTAGGGACAGCACCCAGGCTCTGAGTTCAAGCCCCAATACACACACACACACACACACACACACACACACACACAAACACCTCCCACACCACCCCCACCCCCACCCAAAAAACATGCATGGGGGAGCTTCTTAATACTCTCAACCTACAGAGGGGGAAACTGAGGCACGGCTATGCACTGGCACAAGCTGGATTCTCCCTTCCTTTCCACGAGGGTCTGGCTGCCCAGTCCACCCTCTCCCCAACCTGCCACCTCCAGATCGTGGGCCCCGCTTCCCTCCCAGTTTCCATTCTTTTGCTGACCTGAGATAACTTCCTGCACTCAGCAGATTTCTCGGGAAGCTTTGCTCAAAATACCTGCCTCAGGTGGAAGCGGGGGCTGCTGACCAAGCCGGCGACAGCAATTCCCTAGAGGATGACTGGGCCCCTGCACACCTCAGCAGTGACGGCCTCCCACCCCTCCTCCCTGAATGTATCAAAGGGGAGATGGTCAGCCACCTGACCCAGACCAGCTCTGGTCATCCATATGCTAGGGCTCCTGAGACCTCAGCTGGCTGTGAAGGGCTCCAAGGACCTGCAGCCCACGAGCTGGGGAAGCAGCAGTCTAAAGCAATACAGGTCTGGATGGGGGCTGTGGTCACAAGGTTCAAACGTAATGGCCAGAGAGCATTCCTGAACTCATGGCTCAGGTCCTCCAGAAACCACCACATCCAAAGCCAAATCTTTCTCAATTTTTCAATGCCTTGCCACACCTCCAGCCCTGCTTTGTGGTAGTTATGATTTTAGGAAGAGTTTGGCTTTTGTTTTTTTTATAACCCTGGCTGACTTTAAATCACAATCCTCCAGATCTCAGCCTCCTGGATATCTAGGATTTCGGGAGTTTGCTATGACTGCCTGGCTTTCCCCCATGCACCATCTTTCTAGGCTGAATTTTTTTCTGGTCATCCTTAGAAGCCGCCTCTTCTTTCTCCTGGGACCTCTTCTTCCAAAAATATTGTCTAAACGGGGCTGAGAAGGTGGTTCAGTGGTTGAGTTCGTGCTTTGCATGCATGAGGCCCTGGGTTCGATTTCTCAGCACCACATAAGCAGAAAAAGCTGGAAGTGGCACTGTGGCTCAAGAGGTAGAGCACTAGCCTTGAGCTGAAGAGCTGAGGGACGGCACCCAGGCCCAGAGTTCAAGTCCCGAGACCCAACAAAAAATAAATAAAAAATTAAAAATCTTGTCTAAATAAGCTCTGACAAGGGTTATCACAAATTTGCTACCAGATTCTTTGTTGACCTTTGAATTTCCAACAAGCTCACCTCACTTCAGAACCTTTGCACATGCTATTTTACTTTACCTTTACTCCTTACCCCTGAATTTTCTTTTCTGGAGCCCCCATGGTTGGCCATGGGGCTTGAACTCTGGGCCTGGCCCTGTCCCTCAGCTCTTCAGCTTCCGGCAAGTGTTCTACCACTTGAGCCACAGCACCACTTCCAGTTTTCTGGTGGTTTATTGGAGATAAGAGTCTCACAGACTTTCCTGCCTGGGCTGGCTTTTTTTTTGCCGGTCATGGGGCCTGAACTCTAGGCCTGGGCGCTGTCCCTCAGCATTTCAGCTCAAGGCTAGCATTCTACCACTTGAGCCACAGTGCCACTTCTGGCTTTTTCTGCTTATGTGGTACTGTGGAATCAAACCCAGGGCCTCATGCATGCAAGGCAAACACTCTACCACTGAGCCACCTTCCCAGCCCCTGGGCTGGCTTTGAACTACAATCCTCAGATCTCAGCCTCCTGAGTAGCTAGGATTATAGGCATGAGCTACTGGCGCCTGGCTTCCCTGAATCTTTTTTTTTTAGAGCTGAGGCTTGACTTCATAGCCTGGGCTTTGTTTGCTGGAGGCTAGTGCTCTACCAATTGAGCCACATCTCCACTTTGGGCTTTTGTAGTAGTTCATTGGAAATAAGAGTCTCATAGACTTTCTTACCAAGGCTGGCTTTGAACCTCGATCCTCAGATCTCAGCCTCCTGAGTAGGAAGGATTACAGGCCCTGAATCTTCACCTGATGTCTTGTCATAGTTGAGGTCACTTTGCCCAGGAGGTCATCCCACAATTCTGTACCCTTAATTCGTGTCACTTACATTCTATTCCATCACAATCTGATGGTTTACTTTTTTCCCTTTGTTGGTTTTCTGTCCAGAAAGGACAGAAAGGAAGTTTACTCACAGATACTAGATCCAGCCTTGGTCCTGGTACCCTGCTGTGTGCCCAGAAGATGCCTCATCCAGACCTGCTGGGTCCCAGTTCCCGTGGGCAGAGTAGGCATCTTGGTGTTACCCCCCAACACACACACAAGCAGGTGCCGCTGCAGGGCAGGCCCCTGCCCACTTCCTCTCTCCCTCTTTTCTCCTGCATCACTGACCTCCATGCCGACATCGATCCCCTCCGGTAGTGTGGAAGGTGCTGTGTGAGCATCAGCACCAGTGGTTCATTTCCACAGCAAGTCTGTTTCCATCGAGCCAGTCTTTTCTAATTATGAGAGCAAGCTCAATGTCATAAGCCATCCTGGGACAGACAAGAGGACATTAGTTATGCTGGCACTGGGGCTTGAACTTAGGACTTTGAGCTCTGTCCTGGCTTTTTTTTTTTCTTTTTTTTTCTCAAGGCTAGTACTCTACAACTCTACAACAAAGGCATACCTGCACTTCTGGCTTTTTGTGGTTCATTGGAAATAAGAGTTTCATGTATTTTCCTGCCCAGGTTAGCGCTTTGAACCAGAGATCTTCAGATCCCATCCTCCTACGTAGCTAGGATTACAGCTATGAGCTACCTGCACCTGAGCTCTGAACAAATGTTAAAGTTCATAAAACCATGCTTGTAACGAAAGGAGCCAGGTTCTTAAGTCCACGTCCCTGAGCCCACAGATACCCAGGTGCCCTATTTTTTTTTTTACCTTGCCCCAAGGAGGGGCTCCTGACTGGAGCTCAGAGTAGGAGACCCAGCTTACCCACTTCTAGGCCAGAGACCACACAAAGAACTGGTGGGCGCAGGGCACCCAGTTCAAAGCCAGCCTGGACAGGAAAGTCCAAAAGACTATTATGTCTAATTAAGTGTCAGAACATCAGAAGTGGTGCTGTGGCTCAAAGTGGTAGAGCGATAGCCTTGAGCAAAAGATTCAGAGACAGCACCCAGGCCCTGAGTTCAAGACCTACAACTGACAACAACAACAAAAAAAGACCCAGTGGGGAAGGGAAGCCAGAAGCCCCCTCCCTGGGTCCCTGAGAACATCGGCACCAGCGCAGCCTGCCCTGCCCTGCCCTTCGCCAGATGTCACCTCCGAGCCCCCTGGGGAACATGCTATCTGCATCTCCCGTTGTGTGATCAAGAGTCCTAGGCTTGAACTTAGGGCCTGAGTGCTGTCTCAGAGCATTTTTGCTACCAATTGAGCCACAGCTCCACTTTTGGCTTTTTGGTGATTCATTGGAGATAAGAGTTTGATGGACTTTCCTGCTCAGGCTGGCTTTGAACCACAATCCTCAGATCTCAGCCTCCCAAGTTGCTAGGATTATAGGTGTGAGCTACTGGCACCTGGCTTCCCACAATTTTTCTTGTCCAGGATTCAGTCCCTGTTGTAATACACTTCCTATGGGTACTCAGCACTGCCTGGCGCAGAGGCCCTCCTCTTACCCCTTCTATTCCTGCTAACCAAGCTAACCAAGGCCCTGCTCCTCAGCGTTACCACTGTGTCCACGATGCTGGTCCATGACCACTTTCTGCCATCCCTATTCTGGCTGTCCCGCTCTCCTTCTCTCCTGGGGTCTCTGATACTCAAGCTCTGATTTCATCCAGGACTCGGGACCCCCAGATGATACCCACATACTCTTCTGAAGGCCAACAGCCCCCCACCCACACCACCCCCACTCCTGTTCAGTGGGGGTGCAACTTTAACTGCTGTAGATTTTACCTCTAAGGCTGTGCATTGGTGGCTTGTGCCTTTCATCCTACCTACTCAGGAGGCTAAGATCAGAGGGTCCCAGTTGGAAGCCAGTCCAAGCAGGAAAGTCCATGAGATTCTTATCGCCAATCTACCAGAAGTGGAGGTGTGGTTCAAATGGTAGAGCACCAGCCTTGAATGGAAAAGCCAAGTGAGAGCACAAGGCTCTGAATTCAAGCCCCAGTTCTGGTGCGCATGCATATGTGTGCGCGCATGCACACACACACGATTCTGCCTCCAAATAGGGCAGGAACTACCCACTGTACCCAGTTTAGTCCCAGTCCTCATCGCCTCCCGCCCCCACAGCAGCCAGAGTTAGAGCACCCCCCCCACTGGCATTACCCATCCTCTGCTTCTCCAGTCCACCTCATCATACGCAGGCCTCTGGCTCCAGCATGCATTCACCCTGGCCAAAGCTGCCCCAGTCTCTGAGAGGGGGCTCCTCTCCACCCTCCCCTACAGTGGGCCTGGGTACTTCCTCAAGCTTCCTTATGGAAAGCTGGGATTACACACTCCCAGCTGTGAATGTCTGCGTGGTGACGGTGCTCAGTAAGTGGCACTGGGTGGCTCTGCTCTGAGGCCCTCCCAGGCTGGAAGAGCTGGACAGACACTGGGGGGAGAAGGTTAGCTGCTCAGGAGGCTGAGATCTGAGGATCGAGGTTCAAAGCCAACCGGGGGCAGAAAAGTCCATGAGACTCTTATCTCCAATGAAGTGGCTCAAGTGGTAGAGCACCAGCCTACAGAGGCTCAGGACAGCACCCAGGTCCTGAGTTCAAGTTCCAGGACCCGCTCATACACACAGGAAAAGTGGATTTCCTGAAGTGGGGGACGTGTGAGCTGAGCCTGGGCCAAACCTGGGGTGGGGGGGTGGGGGGCAGAGCACAGATATCCACCGACCCTGGTCAACCCCCAGCCAAGCGCCAGGGGGCGCCGTGGGGCGATGGCGAGACAAGCTGGTGCGGGCCACGGGACGCCGCGACCGACGAGGTTGGGTGCTGGGAGCTCTTGGGATGTCCCAGGGGTTGCTGGTCTGAGCAGAAAGTCCAGACCCAGCCGAAGGTCCACGGGGAGACTCTTTGACGGGATGGGGAAACTGAGGCTGGAGAGGGCGAGGCCCGAGCTCACCTTGTCGGGAGACTAGGAAGGCGCCTCCTGGCCCCGGGACTGGCCGGGGAGCGGCGCGGGC